TTTTGTTCCAGTGCTTCATCTGGGGCAAGCGCATGATGTGGATGTGCACCCTGATCAGCTACCTTCAACGTAAGTAGCCGAGTTTTTTTCTTACTGTAGCTCCGGATCGCGTTTGGATTACACAGCGTGACTGTCGATGATACCTTTTGCTGTCTCTCATTATGTAGCCAGGGGCTGAACCTTGACGAGACTTGTCCGCTTTTGTCGCACCTCGCTTGTAAACTGGACCTGTAATGGTTGAGTGTAAAACTTTTAAAGTACTCTTTAGTACGGTACTGAAAAAACGTTGTGAAGTTATTCGATTATAACGGTTAAGTTACAGTCAACGTCTCATGACATTCTCTTTGGTTTTGTTGCATTAATCCTAGGTGACTTTCCAGCCTTTTCTTCGTAAAGTTCTGTGCACCTGTTATAAATGACCGTGTTTCAGACAGACAGTGACCTACGTCGTCTTCATTCACGTAGGTGAATGAGCACAAGAATGAACGTGCAATTTTGAGTAGTGTACTCATTCCGGATTTCTCGGATCCTGACCATGTTACTGGGAAAGGACGTTATTTCCTCTTTTCCTAACAGCCTTCATCTGCATCGTTTGAATCTTCTACATAGGTCCTCATTGTCTGTTCAGCGAATAAAATAACATGTTCGAATAACTGATATCATCATGCTTTCCATGAAGTTCAGTCTCAGAAAGTGGCCGCTAATCCTTCCGTCTGTATTTCGAATTGAAGCATATGACAGAACTGTTTTAGTCGATAGAAGAATTTCCATAAGCTCTTCTAAGAGTCCCGTTGACTGAACGATTATGAGTTTCTGACAAATCGCAGAACTACCTCTAACTGTTCAAGAGTATGCACTTCAACATACATCACTCTGAAATATGATCCCGTGTTCCACGTTTCTGTCATATGCTATAAACTATTTTGTTCACTCTCATTGACGTTACACATTGATTTTAGTATTTTGTTTCCGCAGAGTGAAAACAGACATGCATTACAGTCCATCTGTATGCATGGGTACAACAATCATAGGAATGCTGCTCTTTAATTGCGACCGCCTTCCTTTCTTGATGGCTGATTCAGCTAAGCAATACGTACATGCTTTAAAAGGAACGCGTTTTCTCAACACTGCCATTGACGGACTACGACATGTAATACAGCATTTCCTGTAACTTCAGATAGTTCACGTTCGCAGTTGCAGAGAAGTAAATGACTTGGTATATAACTGCAAACAGTGGGATTCATATCAGCAGAGTTCAGAAGTCACAAGCGGAAATGGCGGGTTGAAATCCTGGCTAGGTCGCTCGCTTTCACCCTTTGGATCGATGAGTTCCATAACATAAGAACGGCTAGATGCTGTACGGGTCATTAAGCGGTATATATGGCCGTCAAAGAATGACAGTGTTGGCCTGTGACAGATGGCACTGTTGGTTTTCCCATTATGAGATTGAACTATGACGATGCCCCATGTGCCTCTACGCCAATCCAGTAGAACTGGTCAGCAGAGCAGCAAAAACAACATTCTCCCAAAAGACCCTGGAACATGAGCTAAATCCTTCTTCCTGTGTGCCACTTTCTTTGAAGATATGATTTTGAATTTTTTGGATTCTTCTTTTTTTCCAATGGACCGTCAAAAAATTAAATTGCGGTTCAAAAGACAGCAGAAACTGGGCTTTGCTCCATATCTGAAAAGCAAATGCTAAGGTTAACTGAGTTCGAAGAGAAATGCGTACTGCCTGCTTGTGGTGATTATCATTTGTTCAATACATTTCACGGTCCACTACTTTGTCCAGGCAGTACGACAGCAACTTCACAAAGTTTCTTCAGTACTACTGAACTTCGTCAGTCAGACATGGTCCATTTGCTCGATACGGAAACGTGATGGTTCCAGATTTACAATATATTAGATTCACGTGGCCATTGGTCTGTTTCGTGGCTTTCTGCCATGTGTTTTTCATGTAAAAAAAATCAATCTCGCGAATTTCCTAATTGGCCTCGTGACCACTTGCTTAAACTATCGTAACTGCCGTCTCTCGATTTGGAGAAAAATCACCCTGCTGTGGGATCAGATTCGTGGCATTTGACAACTGTCATGAACCAGACCCTTCTGAGTCATGGTTCAGGCTAATAACACACATGTTAATAATTCACTATATTCAGGGCATTTCTACTTCACCCTACGGCATCATCATCTCGGCAAAAATGAAACTACGACGATGAATCTTTGAACAATTCATGGTTCGGGGCACCAAATCCAACAAATGGTAAAAGTCTTTAATGCCAACGCGTTTCACTACAACAACTGTTGCATCATCAGGGCTATACTGAACACAAATGCTTACAGGGTATTTTATATACTCCCGAGTGA